GACACCGGATGGGGGCGGGGGCGTGCCCGGGGTTAGGGGTGCTGGGCCGGACCCGGACGTGAGGGGCACAGAGGCGGGGAGGCAGCCCGCAGACGTGAGGCGTGGCACAGATGTGGGGGTTCTGGGTGGGGAAACGGGCGTGGGAGTCGGGGGCGCTGCGAGGGGGTGTGCGGGAGGAGGGACAGGCGCAGCGTCACGGGCGGGGGTGGGCAAGGAAGGCTGTGGGCAGAAGTCAGGTCCCGGGCAGTGCAGGGCTGAGGCCGTGGGGACAAGGCTGTGAGAGGCAGAAAGAAAGCTTGGACCCCCATTCTCCAGACCCGTAGGGGTACACGCAGGTCCCTCCATCTCTGCCTCTATTCTCTGCTCCTGTTGAGGGGGAGTCCCCCGCTGGGAGCAAGTTACCCAGAAACCCTTCTGAACAGGCAAGGTCTGGAACTCACCCGCAGAAGGAAGGGTGCTTCTTTCGCTCTGCCTCTTCCAGGCTGGTCCTAGGGCGCACGTCTGTGCGCATCTGTGCGGGTGCATGTGCGTGTGTGTGTGCGTGTGTGTGTGCGTGTGTGTGCGTGTGTGTGTGTGAGTGTGCGTGTGTGTGCGTGTGTGTGCGTGTGTGTGTGTGTGTGTGAGTGTGCGTGTGTGTGCGTGTGTGTGTGGTTGGGGTTAGGAGCATGGGCACTGGAGTCAGACTGCTTGAGTATAATTCTTATCTTTACCACTTTATTAGCTGTGCAACCTTAGAGAAGTCACTTAACCCCTCTGTACCTCAGTTTCCTCATCTGTAAAATGGAGTTAATAATTATTACCTACCTCAGAGAGTTGTTGTGAAGATTAAATAAGTTAGTGCAATGTAATACCACTATATGCTGTAGCACATAGTGAGTGTTTAACAGGATTATTATCCTCATTAGCACCGTCTTCAGGGTAGTTCTATGTAGTCCCACAAATTCTTTCATACTTTTCCCTTCAAGAGGCAGAGCTTATAGTTTTATTCTATTCTCCTGAGTGTGGGCTGGGCTTGGTGACTAGAATCTAATGAATAGAGTAGACTATATTGGAAGAAACAGCATATGACTTCTGAGACTAGATCATAAAAGGCATTGTGGCTTCCTTCTTAGTCTCTCTCTTGGATCACTTCCTCTGTGGGAAGTTAGCTGCCATGTCATAAGGAACTTGAGTGGCCCCGTGGAGAGCCCTGAGTGTCCTCCTGCCAACAGCCATGCGAATGAGCCATCTTGGGAGCTGGTCCTGCAGTCCCCGTCAAACCTTTAGACAACCGCAGCCTCGGCTGACGTCTTGACTGCAGCCTCAGGAGGGACTTTGAGCCAGAAGCCCCAACTCCCTGCACCTACCCAGCTAAGTTGTTCCTGAATTGGCCCATAGAAACTGTGAGATAGCCCTGGCTGGTTTGGCTCAGTGGTTAGAGTGTTGGCCCATGGACTAAAGGAAGGGTCCTGGGTTCGATTCTGACCAAGGGTACGTACTTCAGTTGCAGGCTTGATCCCTGACCTCGGTCGGGGCTCATGTGGGAGGCAACCAATTCATGTGTCTCTCTCCTGTCGATGTTTCTCTTTCTCTCCCCACCCCCCTTTCGCTCTCTCTGAAAAGCAATGGAAAAAATATCCTTGAATGAGAATTAAAAAGAAGAAAGAAAAGAAACAGATAATAAATGTTGTTTCAAGCTGTTCGGTTTAGGGGTAACACAGATAAATAATTCATCTTCCTTCAAAATTCAGCTCGGGCTTCACGTCCCTCAGGAGGCCTTCTCTGCTCTGTGTGGGGGCTGGGCCTGGCTGATGGCCCCACAGCTCCAGTCCTTCCCATAGAGCAGTCTCCATCTCTCAGGGTTTCTAGTGCCTGGTTCTCCTTACTCCCAAACAGTGATCTTCAGAGGGTGGGGCGTTTCTCATTCACCTTGGGATCCCCTGCACCCTGCACAGGGGATTAGGTGAGAGGGTAGTAGGAAGGAGGATCAGTCTAGTTTGATGACTTGAACTAAACTGGTGGGGGAGGCTGTTCCTCTGTAGCAGACTGTATTTTCCAAAGATGGCTGCAGCCATAACTCCCATCATGCATGCTTTTCTATAACATTAGCTTGCCTTTCTCCCATCACAAGATGGGGTGAATGTCCCTTCTCTTTGAATTTAGGTGGGGCTAATAACTGACCAACAGAATACAGAAGAAGTGACATTAAGTGATTTCTGAGGCTAAGTTATCAAAGGTGACTCAGCTTCCATAGTTGGCGAGAACATTTGTTGTAGAGCTCTAAGCTGCCATATAAGAAGTCCAACTACTGCAAAGCTCCCATAGAACAAGAAAGCCCAGGTCACATGGAGAAGCCACATGTAGGTACTTTGGTCACAGCCCCAGCTGAAGTCCCAGATGACAGCAACATCAACCACCACACCTGGGAGTGACAGAGCCTCCAGAGGATCCCAGCTCCCAGCTAAGGAGTCTTCCCAGGCCTTAGACATCCTGGAGTAGACACAAGTCATCCCCTCTGTGCTCTGTCTGAATTCCTGACTCCACAGATTCTATGAACGTAATGAAACAGTTGCTTTAAACCACTAAGATTTGGGGTAACTTGGCACACCCCTCCTCTGCTCTGTTTGATAACCTGGCTTCTCCACAGGACTATCTAGGAGGCTTCGCCCAGTTCTTGAGGGAGGGACAGAGGAGGTGGGGTGAAGGAGGGGACACACATGCCTGAACACATTCTCAAGACTGTCACCTTTCAGACCTGGAAATTCATAGAGAAGGTAGTGTTTACTCCCCTGGATGGCAGCACCAGGCTGCACTTCTGGTGGGGCTACGAGGCCTGCTGCTGTTACCCTGCCCTGAGGCTCAGCATGGCAGTGCAGGGCTATGGCATGGCTTATCCCTTTCTAGCTCCTCTTGTGCCCTTTAGAGACTGAGGCCTGAAGAGGGGTCACTCTCATTCCATCTCCAAAACTAGAGCAGTAAGAGAAAGGCAGCACTATTCAGCTGGAGGACTGAAAGCAGAGTGGAGGAGAACGGCAGCAGGGCCTTGTCTTCTACCTAGAGGCTGGGGTGTGGGCCAGGGGGCTGCTCCTTGGACTTGGTAGCTAGAATCCTGAGTGGAACCCTCTGGCAGGCAGGCACTCCTGATAAGTTGCTTACCTGGTGGGCAGTTGGGCCAGCTGTTCCAGTTCTTGCTCCATATGCTCCTGCATCTCACTGGGCCTCAGCAGGACCTGGCAGATGGGGCAAATAGGGGCCTGGCTGTCAAACAATGCTGCTGCCTTTTTCTTACCTGGTGAGGGAAGAAGAACAGACAGAAATATAAACTGGACTGGTCTGTGCAGGGAAACCCAGTGTCCTAATCCTTTGACCCAAACCAGCTGATGCCTCCTAAGGCTTCTTGGTGAGAAAGGTGAGCGGGTCTCAGAGCTCATGAGCATCACTCCTCTTTGCAGCTCCAGAGGCTGTGGTCACGGACGGCACCTCCCCAGCCAGCTGCCCCTCTCAGAAATCTATCAGGACATAATCGATGCTCTAGGCCAGCGATTTTCACCCGGTGTGCCGCAAGAATTGTTAAAACATGCAGTACCTGACCATTTAGTCAGGGGCACTGTCCTCTTTTTCCTTAGATTGGCAAATAAAAAAAATGACAACAGCCAACACAACAATAGCCATCTCGTGTGAATGAATCAAAATTACACCTTTTTTTTGGTCAGATAGGCAAAAAATATATTTTTGGCATGCCATAGAATTACAGTAATTAGGTTATGTGTGCCATGAGATGAAAAAGGTTGAAAATTGCTGCTCTAGGCAATCAAACCTTGATCATTTCATTTCACATAGGTTAGTGAAGGTCTTGGTTTAATCATACCATCACCCAGAATATCCAGGGCCCTCTCTGTCTCTCCTTTCCCCTCCCTGCTTCCATACTCCCCAAATCTGGAGAATGAAGAAAAGAGGGAGAAAGGGGATCCATTCCTGCAGTCATTCAACAAATACTGTCTGCTGTCTGCTCTCAGCAGTGGGACACACACTATAATCAGATCTAGTCCCTGCCCTTGAGGCCCTCACAGCTGAGTGGAAAAGCCTGAAAAGGCCCTGGTGAACGCCATCTTTCAGGGTGGCTTTCCCTCCCAGCTCCTCACTTTCCCCAGGGGCCATTCTTTCACAGCCTCTTCTTTCCTCATTCTGCATCCTGCCTGATCTTGTTCCTTCTTCTGGCCCTAATTCCCACCTGTGCCCCACTGACTCCAGAATCTGTATCTCTACCCGGGGCCCCTCCCGTGTTCTCCAGACCCCTATATCCAAAGGCCTTTTGGACACCAATGCTTGGATATCCCCAGAGAATCTGAAACTCAACAATCCAAAAACGAGTTTTCAGCTTCGTCACCCCTCCCAGACCTGCTCCCCTTAAGCAGTGCCCATTCTCAGTTAATGACACCTAGTCGCCCATGCCAATACCATTTGTCTCAACCCCCACATTTACTTAACCACCAGGTCCTGTCCGTTTTCACCTTTGATATTCCCGGAACCTATCTTCTCCCTGTTCAGGCTGGGCCCCCTGTCACTTGGATAACCTCACTGGCCTCTGTGAGTTTCACAGATTCTGGGGCCTCCCCTCCATAATATCCTTTAAATTGTGTGCTCCCAATACACAAGCTCATGTGGGTATAGTGCTGGCTATACTGGCTTGGGGGCCAGCTGGGAGCCTAAACTCTGTCCCACTCTGTCCCTGATGGAAACCAGAACACACCATGCTGTGAAGGAGCCTGAAGGTTGCCTAGCACACCCCCTTTGGATGCCTAAACCTGCTCCCTTGCCACTGTCCCCACCCAGTGCTCCCCTGGCCTCTGCTTGTAGGCATAGGGTTGAGGAGCCCTATTTATCTAGAAACATCTCTGCCTATCCATGTGAACTCTGACTGGAAAAAGGACTTCTTTAGCTTAAGCCCAGATCTTTCTACATGCTTCTTCTGCCCACTGGGGCCCAGAGAAGGTCCAAATCACTTTTGAGAGAGAATAAGCCATGCCAGTCATGGTGAAGATGGGCTGCTCGAGCAAGGTTGCCAGATTGAAAATATAAGATGCCCAGTTAAACCTGAATTTCAGATGAATATTGAGTAATTTTTAGTGTAAATATGTCCCAAATGCTGCATGGGACATACTTAGACTAAAAGTTATTTGTTGTTTTTCTAAAATTTGAATTTACCTGGATACCCTGTATTTTTATTTGCTAAGTCCAGCAAAGCTATGCTTGAGGGAGCTCCCAGTTTTGGCTGAGCAAAGAACCACCTTGCTTTGACACAGACTGAGGATAACCATGGCTCTCCTGGATGCCCAACTGAGTCATCTGAGAGCTCGAAGGAAGGAGTAATTCATTCTGGGTATGTGTCTTGAGAAGTGGAAAAAAAGAAGACTTAACCAAAGAAATGAAATTTAAGTTGTGACTTAGAAGTGTTCCAGGCAGAGAATGGGAGCAAATGAATGAATGAATGGGTTGTGAGTTCCCTGTGGGCAGGGACTATTTCTTATCCATCTTTATGTCTACAGACAACTGAAAACAGACATGACATAGAATAGATGCTCAATGATGACGCAAGGGAGAGAAGAGGGAGGGAGGGAGGTAAAGTAGGGAGGTGAAGTTGTCCTGGAAGCCAGATGACCTTTGCAGAGCTGGTGTCAGCTGTGCAGGCTTTGTTTGTGTCAGGGTGGGGTAGGTAAGGCTCTATCTAGTCTGTGTGGTTAGGTCTCTGAGGAGGGAAATGGGCCCTACTGATCATATGCTTTGTCTGTGCCTCAGATGCTCAGGGGACAGCTGGCAGGCAGCTCTGAGTAAAAGAAGCAGATGTAGGCCTGGTCTGGGAGTGAGGAGATGAGGATTTGCATCTTAGCTCTAACTCTTAACTTCACTCAGCTAGAGAATCTCAGAGTTGAGTGAGACCCTAGATACTCTCCAGGCTGTTATCTTTATTTTACAGATGGGAAAACTGAGGCTCGGGGCTGGACAGGGGCCCTTGTACTTGGCTCTTGATCTCATTGCCTCATTTATTTATAAATTCAGCAAACATTTATTAAACAATTATTCTACTTCAGGTATTATTCTGGGAGAAACTGGAATTCAGAGATAAATAAAACACATTCTTGGCCTCCAGGAGGTGACACGCTAGTAGGGAAGCCCAAAGGGAAAGTTAGTGATTCCAGTCAGTGCAGCCTGCTCAGGGCTGAGGGGGGCATGCACGGGTGCTCTGGGTGGTGGCAGGAAGGGGCCGGAGTGGGGCTGCTGGGGTCCAGGGGAAGGATGAATAAGAGAGTTAACAAGGCTATGGAAACAGATCAATGAGGCAAGGCCTGGGGCTTAAGGAGGGAAATGGTAAGAGTGGAGACTGGAGAAAGAGGAGGGTCCAAGGCATGGAGTCTGAGCTGAAATATGAAGGTTTAATTAAGCCCCTTCTAGCCCGGGATGCCAACTCTGGCTCTTAGGACCCCTAGTGCCCAGATTACTCCAGCCAAGCCCAGCACCAGGCTTCAGCATTCCCATATACTTGTTCTCAGTTCACCTGTCTTGCTGCCACAGGTATCTACTTTTCTGAAATTGAAGCTTGGCCCCAGTTTCCCTGTCAGGACAATGGGCCCTCTTCCTGGCTCCTAGCCTCAGGAATAGCATTGACAAGGATCTGCGGAGGAACCCCGCAGCCCGTGTTCTCCATCCCAACACCATTTCCTCAGGGGTTAGAGTGGTAGGTGTCAGCATGGCCATGGGCCTCCTGCTCCCCTCCCCGCTGTGTTCCCTATAATTTTATATTGAGACCTGTGGTCATGACGTGGGTTTTACTGCACTAACGACATGGCCTGCCCAGGTTTAATGACAAAATCCATACTCTGGCCCTGGGCCTGCTCCTCGTTTGCATAATTCCCAGAATACAGCTCCCTGAAGCTTTTGACCTGGGCCATTACAGTGGCCATAAAATGGGCCATAAAACCGTTGGGGATGGCCAAGAGGAGGGGGCTGTGGTCTTGCAGGGATGGGAATGAAGTCCTCAACCCCCTACTCTTCCTAGGCCTGGGAGGAGGCATCCTCTGGCTCTTCTTTTCCACGTTCCCAGGCTGGAGAGGCCTCCAGAAATCCTTAGCCCAGCTGCCCATCTGATGCAGAAATCCCGTCTCCAACACCATTGCCAGCATCACAGGTAGGCACACCGAGCCCACCAGCAGCAGGCTGCCAGAAAGCATCTCTCCTTGAGCACCCCTCACTCCGGCCCCTGACCTCCCACCGCATAGCTGGCCAAGCTCTTTGCCACAGGTGGGTCTAGGTCATCTGGGCCTATGTTGTATCTTGTCCCACTTCAGGAGGCCTCGTTCCCCAGGGAGGTCAGCAGCGGGCCCAGGCAGCACGGTGGGGAGGCATGGGAAGCACGAGGGGATGGGGACAGGGACTGGGACCGGCTGTCAGTGCTAAAGATGATGAATGGGGGAGGTGAGGCGCGAGGCCCAGTGTTATCGGCAGTAGATGGCAGGTGCGGGCGCTCGCTGCTCCTGCTAATCCCCGGGCGCTGCCTCAGCCCTTGCACTGATAACGAGGAAATGGGACTGACAACAATTTTTAGCTGAGAGATTCTTCACCAAAATGCCAGGCGGCCGGAGGTCTGACAGCGCCTGATTGAGTGTGTGAGTGTGTGGGGGGAACGCCTGCAGCCCCCTCCCCTCCCATGCAAAGATGGATCGCTCATTCCGCCTCCCGTCCACATTCATTACCACACCTCCCTCCCGCCACCCCGGTTCCCACAGCACCTGCCACCTCCACTTCTCTGCCTGCCGCAGGTATCCCCTGAAGTGAGAGGAGAGCGGGGAGCCCTGATCCTATCCTCAGCTTTAGGCAGGGCGCCTCAAGCTCAAAGAGCCGAGAGGTGACTGCAGAGTCAGGGCTGAGAGTCAGGCCCTGCCTGGAGGCTGCCTAACTGTGTGGCCTCTAGAGGGTCTCTTTCCCTTTCTGAGCTGCTGGAATATCTTCCCCACCAGAAAACCAGAAAATGACTGACTGACAGACAGGAAATGACTGACAGACAGGAAATGACTGACTGTGGGCTGTGAGGGGGAATATAAGCATGCTGAGGAGAGAGGAGGTGTCAAGCCAAGTAGCCTTTTCCTTGCCTGGGCCAGGCTCTGGCCAGTCCAGCCCTCAAGCCTTGGAACAAGGCCTTGGGCACCTGGGGTCCCAAATCAGCCCTCTGCTGCCCCCCTCTGTTGGGAACTGCTGACCATTGGGAGCAGGGCTGGCATGGTTGCTCCTAGGCCA